TTGGGATGTCGTTGGCACTGAACTTCTGCGGAAGAAGATCTTTATCCACCGAGACCCCTTGGGATCTGAGCTCTTGAAACTTGTAGTCGCTGGACAACTTGCTTAGGCTTTCTTGCATGAGGTCCATTTGTTGTTGCTTCACAGGATCCTCGATCTTAAGTGTGAGAAGCTTCAGTGTCTCAGTTACAGTAGCCAGTTGGTTCTTGAGATCGTTGACTTCTTCCTGAGTTGCCATTATGACTCTTGCTTTCCTCTTGCGGGCTATAGGTTTGTCGAAAAGTTGTACTTGTTCAAAGAGATTATCTTTGAATAATCATCCTTCCTTTCTTGACCACGCGCTGTAAATTAAGCCAGTTTGCGTTTTAATTACTTGACTCGAATCAATTTGACTTTATGGTTTTTATTTTAAAAAAGGGTATGCAAAAAGTATGCATATTTTTAGGGAGCAAAAATGTACATGTGTTTAGGGAACTTAAGTATTATTATTTATTGGAGGATTAATATCCGACTTACCCCCCTAAAAAAATGACGAAAAATAACGCGCGCACACAAGACTTTCTTAATTTTGGTCAAGACATGTGTATTGGTGTGTGTATTGAGTGTAAGTGACATGCTTGGACTCTTGTGTAAGACCATGGGACTTAGTGCCTAAACTCGAATATTGATTCAATTAAGCATTATTGCCAGCAAAATTAACCGAATTAAACAGGAAACTAATTAATTAGACATTAGGTGATGACTCAACAAATAAACCGAACTGTCGGCCAAGCGACAGGATTGGCGTCACAATATGGTGGTTGGTGCCAGACTTTTTAGTAAATGTCTGACGCTACACACCATACAGTGGCGCTACAGCTCAGATTTTGGCACCAATATTGGAGTCTCGGTCTGGGGCTGTTTTCGATATTATTAGTCAACTGGGGTATGCCTAAAGTCGTACTAGGTGAATTTCGATTAAAAGAAGAAAAAACTTTATTGGCTCGAATTAATTAATTAATTGATTAGGCAAAGTTCTTTAATTCATTAATTATAATCTCAACACAAATCAACAAATGGTTAAGAGGAGCATAGGATATATATGCACGACAAATAATGCACAATTAGTCAAGTAGGCACAACATGATGCAATGAGTTCGCAACCTAACCTTGGATCTAGTTCTCTAAAGTTCGGGTTATGGTTTAGTCAAACAGGGTCCATGGTTAATTGTCCAGATGCACCGCATAGAAGCCTAACCGTGAAGGGTTAACGCGTGTGGATAGAACACCGCGAGTTTTTAGAAAAAACTCACTTCCATGGTTTGGTGAATTCAACCTCTCAGATGTACCCTTTGTTGCCAGGAGCGTTCAATCAGGTAGATAGAGCATGAATTCCCAGAGGGTTATGTCCATATGTAGAACACATATGGGTTTCAGAAAAGTGAGAAAAAATTCAATCAGGAAGCAGGATTGAGCAAACAATACGAAAAACCGGTCGAAATTAGAACGCATATTTCTGGCTCGGTATTGGGGGAAATTGGCGCCAGCTAACAGAGACTGGCGCCAACTTTTAACTGTAGCGCCTGGCGCCAATACTGGCGTCTGGCGCTACGGCAAAAAGTGTGGCGCCAAGCTCTGGCCCCTGACGCTACTTCCCACATGCCTCAGCAGCTTTCTGTGCTCAATAAAATCATCCAGTTTCGCGCGGTGTTATTTCAGTCCTAGTTGTGAAAGACATTTCTCAAATTTCCTACGTGTAAAATCCTATGTTTTTTACTCATTACGGATGGTCTTTCCAATGAGAACCTTTTCATGCATATGACAATAATGTTAATCAAAATTACGCACATGAAATACTTAGAACTTTTCGAGTCTCATCCACTCATTCTAAATCATTGCCGAAACAAATTCAGGAATTAAAATAGAAATCCTCCCCAGTGGAGTCGCCAAAAACTGTAGGGAACAGTTTCAAGCCTTTAAAATCCCACTAGCTTGAACCCCACTGTGATCATACACTAAAGTACGGTGGCGTCCAAAAGGGAAGAAAATAGAGCAAAAGAGTCGCCAACAAGTTTTTAAGGAACTTGTAAACCGTTCACGAGGTGAAGGTTACACCCCTTAACGATCCAAGAGATCGTCAACTCCATAAGGTCATGAACCAAATAAGGGTTCGGGGATGATGGTACAAATCCAACCTAAAAGAGATTGAACCTGCCCAAATAATAGGCCTCTACTTTATTCTGCTCGTATTCATGTGCGCTTTCTGACTAACATACAATCAATAGGATTAACCCTAAATATGTTTAATCTATATTGGTTGAATATTAATGCACAAATAAATCTATTATTGGCGATCACTTGAATTATAATCAAAGTTAACCTAACAAGATTATTAATTATCTTATTAAGCGTGATTGCAAGTACCAATTCCCTTTAAACATGCAATAAAAGTGATCAAGCAATAACAATAAAATAATCAAGCAACATAATAAATAATCAACATCATTAATAATAATAATATCAATCATAATCATAATCATCATAATCATGTTAAAGCATAGCAAGATCCTAGGCATGATACTAACAAGATTAATAACAAACCCTAGCATGTCACTAAGCAATAAAAATCAAATCTTTAACCCTAACATGATACTAACAATCATAAATATTAGGAAGAATATAGGAAGCATCGTACATTTAATCATACTTGATATAAAAGATACCCTAGACATGATACTAGGAATTAAAATAACAATCTAAGCATGATTTCTACATCATAATATCAATTAAACCATTAAATTACTTACTTGGATGCCTCGTACCTCTTTCTAATAACAAAATACACACGTTAGTAACTTCAAGGAAAATAATAATCAAAACAATTAAATTAAATAATTGAAAGAAAGATTTGGGATCAAACCCTCAGAAATTGAAACCTTTCACGTCTAGGGCGAAGGCAACTTCGAATATGGCTAAGTGTTTCTAGCTCTTGCGAATGCGGAATTTTGTATTAAAAAGCAAAGTTTAGAAAAGAAAGAATGAATGTAAATGAAAGTTGATGAAAAGAGATGAATGAAAAGGATTATTTGACTGTAGATGAATGCTAATTGATGAATAATTTGTGAATGAAGAGAGTTGATGATCAATGATGCTTGTTGATGAATGATGAAGATAGTTGGTGAATGAAAAACGGAGTTTTTGATACGATATTTATAGAGAAAATCATCCAAAAAAGATAATTTATCAAAACAGTGTCTGAAAATCGAAAATCAACATTGGCGCCAGGACCAGTGGCTAGCGCCAGGCGCCAATGGCTGGCGTCTGGCGCCAATCCTGATTCAGGCGCCAAGGCCTGGGGTTGGACGCCAAACTGAATTTTTACGCGGTTTCGAAATTCTGATAAAATTCCCGTACTGGAAGATAAAATAATATAACTTCAATCGAAAATGCTATTTGATCTTGATTAAAACTCTAAAGAATCCTAACTGAATTAGGAATGAAAAGAACCTTCTAGAATGTTCTAGAAGACTAAAACCATTCCTAATTACATTAGGAATGATAAATTATATTAGGCCCTCCCCTAGATCATAGGGCCGTACTTAAAACTCAAACTGGGCCCAATTTAGTAAATTGGCCATAAATTCTCAATATTCATCGGAATTGGGCTTATAATATATATCGTTGGAAAGGTCTTTGCAAGCCCCATCCAACTACACCACTATTGGACCTATATCATGGACCAACCAAACTGGATTGGCTGTTTTCTTAAAATAAAGTTTTCAAAAATAGAGAGAAGAGAAAAGAAATAAAACTTTCCGCAACACTAGACCTTTCCACACTTTCATTTCATTCGATTATGATTCGACGTGAAAGGCACTCATCACTGGGTTTGGTTTTGGGGAGACACAAATGGGTGTCTACAATCATAAAGGTGGATATTTTCAACGGAAAATATTTCGTCGCAATTTAGCGACGAAAAATTTCTATTACGACGCATTTTCCCTCGTAAAATTTACGACGGAATTTATTTCCGTCGTAATTAAAAACTTGCGACGGAATATTCCATCGTACAGTGTTTTGCGACGGAATATTCCGTCGCAAGTTTTAAATTACGACGGAAATAAATTCCGTCGTAAATCTTACTGTCATTTTTTGAAAATTAAAAGTTGCAACCTTGCCCTAAAAAAAAAGGGGGAAATAATTGAAAATCAGAGAGAGAAGTGAAGCAGCACGAGGAGAGAGAGAAAGAGAAGGAGAGAGAGAGAAGGAGAGACGAGAAAGTCACGGCGGCGGTGGTGATTTCTTTACGCCGGCGACGCCTGTAGACGACGCACATCAGCCGCCGAGAAAGAGAACGGGAAACAGAGAGGAGAAAAAGAACGGGAAAGAAAGAGAGAGGAGAAAGAGAACGGGAAAGAGAAAGATAAGGAGGAAGGGAGGAAGGGAAAGATAAGTGTGTGCAATTGTCAATTAATTTTTTTTTTTTGCAAAAAAACTACCGGAATAACATATAACCACCACAACGCAGCCGCACCTCCGTCCCCTAGCCGTGACTAAACCCACCGGCCCTTGGTTGTTTCCGGCGACGCCCCACCTCCGCCTGACAGTAAGTTTACTCAATTGAATATCAGTTAGTTAGCTGCTCGAACTCTGTGGCCAAACGATCGCAAAATTACTGCTATTTTTCTTGCTTAATGTGCTAATTTTTATGATATTATGCTATATTTTCTCAGGAATTGTACTGTGCTAATGGTTTGTTAAATCAGGATTTTACGAAGTAATTATTTCAATTTTGTGTTAGTAGCTAATTATTCTGGAATCGTTAATTTTGTTGAATTATGTTTGCATTTTTATTTTTTTTCTGGAGAGGGAACGATTAAGGTGATTAATTAGATGACAAATTCATAAATGCTCAAATTCTTTTTTTTTATTTTATTTTTAATTTTTTTTTTTCTGATTTTCTTGAATTTTGTTGCATTAATTTGAATTATAAACCCTTAATTTTTTTTTTAATTTTGTTGTAGGATTTGTACAATTTTGTTGGTTTAATTGTTAAAAAGAAGTGCAGATCTAAAGGTTAGTTACATTACAAACCCTAATATAATGTATATGTGTATCTTACTTTGGTTGTTAGATATTCAATAACTTTTAGTTTGGTTAATTTAGTGACATTGGTGATCTCTTATAAGTAATCAATTGCTCCCTTCTCTTTAAAAAAACAATATAATGTTAGTTTGGTTTAGTTTAGTTTAACATAATGTAGTTTAGTTAAGTTTATGTTAATATAATGTGTTTTAGTTTAATTTATTTTAATATAAAGTACCTTATTGTAGTCTAGTTTTTTTTAGAAATATGTTAGTTTAATTTAATATATATAACGGTAGTTTGGTTTGGTTTAGTTTAATATAATATATTAGTTTACTTTAGTTTGGTTTGATTTGGTTTATATTAATAGTATGGTGTTATGATATGTTTCTCTTGTTTAGTTTAATCTTGATATATTTGTTTAATATTATGTATGTTAGTTAAGTATATATATTTTTAAATAAATCTTATAATTAATTAATTGCTCTCTTGATCTTTAAAATAAACAATGTTAGTTTTGTTTAGTTTAGTTTAACATAATGTAGTTTAGTTAATATTATGTTAATATAATGTGTTGTAGTTTAATTTATTTTAATATAAAGTATCTTAATTTAGTTTATTTTTTTTAGAAATATGTTAGTTTAATTTAATATATAAACAGTAGTTTGGTTTGGTTTAGTTTAATATGATATATTAGTTTACTTTGGTTTGGTTTGATTTGTTTCTCTTGTTTAGTTTAATCTTGATATATTTGTTTAATAATATGTATGTTAGTTAAGTATATATATTTTTTTTTAAAATCATTTGCATAAATCATATGCCTAGATACCCGTTCAAGGCATACACATTAGGAGTATGTCTTGAATAGTCCCCGGTTGGGACTGTCCTTGTACGTTTATTCTCACTTAGGTGGTGAATGTATTCCTTTGTTTTAATTCTAAGGAAGATCCTTGCTTGTCATTTCTCTACAATGTTCTCTAGGTACATATAGAGGTGTTTCTAATCGCCTATATTGTGTACTCGGGGAACTGTAGGGAGATGCTGCCGGATTTTCCATAGAATTGAAATTCTGGCATACATTCACTAGTGAGATTGAACGTACAAGGATGGGTTAGGTTGGAGTGATAAGGACCCTTGGAAATCATTTCTCTTCTCATTTGCATTTCCATAACAGTTTGATCTACAATGAATATATATTGTGCTTTATGACTAATGTGATTAATGGCATATGTGTTAGTTGTGTAGAACTTGTAATCATGAAACGAAAAGAACGTAGCTGGATGTACGAAAGGAAGGTTGGGAATTCTATTAATCCTGAGTTCTTGAAGGGGGTATATGAATTCCTTAAATATGTGGAAGATCATCCCGAGAGTAGCAACCCGAATGAAGTGAGGTGTCCATGTTTTAAATGCAAAAACAAACGTCTCTGGGATCCAGATACGGTCAAACTTCATTTGTATCGCAGCGGTTTTTTACCTAATTACTACGAGTGAATGTGTCATGGGGAAGAGTTTCCAGGAACTCGTAGAAGGGAGTCAAATGAATATCGTGAAATGGTTTTGGATGCCTTTGGTCAGTCTCAAGATCAAGGCCATTCCGAAGAGCCACCTGTTTCATTAGAGGAGGAGCCTAATGCACAAGCCAAGCCATTTTTTGATTTGTTAAGGGCTTCTGAACAACCGTTGTACGAAGGGAGTTCATTGTCTGTGTTAGAGATGGCTTCTAGAATCACTAGCCTAAAGTGTGAGTATAATTTGCCGCACAGATGTGTTGATGGATTTGCTTCTTTGGTTAATGAAGCGATTCCTAACAACAACCACATGGCCGAGACATTCTATGAGGTCAAGAAAATTGTTAAGGGGTTAGAGCTGCCCCATGAAAAGATTCATGCATGCCCGAAAGGATGTATGTTGTTTTGGAAAGATGATGCTCAATTATCTACATGTAGGGTGTGTGACAGTGACCGATACAAGAAGACTTCTAAAGGTAGCTTAGTGCCTTTGAATGTTCTATTTTATTTCCCTATCACACCTAGGTTGCAAAGGCTTTTTGCAACTAAAAACATTTCTGAGGAAATGACATGGCATGTTAAAAATCCTCGAGTTCAAGGCACAATGGCACACCCTAGTGATAGTGAAGCGTGGAAACACCTAGATAGTTGCTTTCCTGAGTTTGCCTCTGAACCTCGTAATGTTCGACTTGGCCTATGTACGGATGGATTTGCTCCACATGGTCAGCTTGGGGGACAATATTCATGTTGGCCTGTCATTTTGACCCCTTATAACTTGCCTCCGTCAATGTGTATGAAAAGACAGTTCATGTTTCTTTCGTTACTCGTTCTTGGTCCTAAAAACCCTAAGGGCAACTTGGATGTTTACATGCAGCCGCTCATACACGAGTTGAAACAGTTGTAGGAAGTTGGGGCAAATACTTACGATATTTCGAGAAAACAAAATTTCAATCTTCGAGCAGCCATCCTATGGACCGTTAGTGACTTCCCGGCTTATGGTATGTTATCTGGTTGGACCACATCCGGTAAGAAGGCTTGTCCATATTGCATGGAGAAAAGCAAAGCATTTTGGCTCGAAAATGGTGGTAAGGTTTCTTGGTTTGACTGCAATCGTCAATTCCTTCCGACAAATCATCCTTTTTGAAATAGTAAAAATGCATTTTTTAAAAAAAAGTCGAAAAAGGTTCACCACCTCACATCATTTCAGGAGAGGAACTTTGGGTATGTGTGAAAAACCTCCCGAAAGCAACAGATGGCCCCGAGGCACTGAAACGTCTCAAGAATGCAAAAAAAGGGTGGTTCAAGCAAAGCACTCTATGGGACCTTCCATATTGGAAACATCTGCTTGTTCGTTACAACTTAGATGTCATGCACGTTGAAAAAAACTTTTTTGATCAGTTGATTCACACTACAATGGACGTGAAAAAGCAATCTTGTGACACCCCATCAGCTCGCAATGACATTGCTAAATACTGTAAACAGCCCCAGCTACATCTTCAAGAGGATGATAGAGGAAAAGAATTCATGCCAAAGGCTCCATTTGCTCTTGACAAGGCTTAGAGAAAGGTTTTGTGTGAGTGGGTCAAACAGCTGCGGTTTCCTGATGGTTACGCTTCCAATTTGAGCCGATGCGTTGATTTGCAATCAGGTAAGTTACATGGAATGAAAAGTCATGATTGTCACGTGTCATGGAGAGGTTGTTGCCCACTGCTTAGAGAGAATTGCTCCCTACCCATATATGGAATGTAATTACAGAGATAAGCCAATTCTTTCGCGATTTATGTTGCTACACAATTACAGTTAGCGACATGGAGCGATTGGAAAAAAACATAGCTGAGATCCTGTGCAAGCTTGAGAAGGTTTTCCCCCCATCTTTCTTCAACTCCATGGAGCATTTACCAATTCATTTGCCATATGAGGGCAAGTTATGTGGACCTGTTCAATATCGGTGGATGTATCCTTTCGAAAGGTAAATCAAAGGTCCTTTCTCAACTCTTACTTTCATCTCTTTCATTGATTTCCATTACTTATACTTCTACGGCTACATAAACATAATTACAGGTTCCTCAATCACCTGAAACGAAAAATTGGTAATAAGGCTCGTGTTAAAGGTTCCATATGCAACGCTTATCTCACTGAAGAGATATCAAACTTTTGCTCCAATTACTTTCAGCCCTCAGTTGACACAAAAACACGAGATCTAGGTCGAAATGTGAATGCTGATGTGGAATCCCCGGCTGACAACGATGAAATCCCAGAGCTGTTCACGGTGGATAAGGGTCGTGTGTCAAATTTGGGTAAAACTCAGTATTTAGATGACAAGGAACTCGAACGTGCTCATTTGTTCGTTTTAAGAAATACCGGCATTCTTGGTGAATACGAAAGGTATATATGTTTACGATAAACTTTTGAAAATCCCTTAAATTTAATATAATTGCTGCAATGATTAACCATGTGTCATTAATCTATTAGGCAGTTTGAGGACTACATTCTTAGTACTCGAACTTATTTGCGTTTAGAAGATGTCATGGAGAAATGCGAAAGTGAATTCCCTGATTGGTTTCATCACAAGGTGATAATACTTTTCGAACATTGCATCTCGATTAATTTGTGATAATATAATATAATATATTTCATTTCAATTAGTGTGACGCTTGTATTCGTAACGGTTATAGGTGAGAGAACAAAAACCAAGTTCCGATGTGTTGCGAGCATTGTCTATGAGGCCTTTCAAGCGTGTTCGAACTTGGAACCAGATATTTGTCGGTGGCTTTAATTTCCACACACAGTCCTATGGAAAACACAAATCTACGATGAATTACGGGGTGTGTGTCTCAAGTGAGGACGGTGGAGAGTACTTTGGCATTTTAAACGACATAATTGAACTTGTCTACACCGGTCCCGAAAAAGAGTACAAGACTATTTTGTTTAGTTTTAGTTGGATGGATTGTGGTAAAGGAATGAACATTCATGAACAATACAAGCTTGTCGAAGTAAATCATACTAAGAAGAATCCCAAGTATGATCCATTTGTCTTATCTTACCAAGTGTCTCAAGTGTATTATGCATCTTACCCTAGCCTTAAACGTGATCGGGTTCAATGGTGGGCTGTATTTAGAACTCAAGCAAGGTCAGTGATTGATGCTCCGGTGGATTTAGAGTTTTTGCAGGGTCCTTCCCCACAAGTACATGCAACGCTTTGTCCACCAAATGACATTCCAGACTATGAACTTAATAGTGATGATGATGATGACGATGACGATGGCTTTATTATCTCAAGCGATGAAGAAGAAGAAGAAAGCATTGGCTCCAGTGACAATGACGAAGAAGAGGACATCGATGTATTTTTAGAAGACACTAGTGATAGTAATAATGATAGTGATAATGATAGTGGTAGTAGTGATAAGAGTAATGAAGAGGAGAATATGTAGTTACTCCTTTTACTATTGTCTTCGAATGTTTAGTTTTTAATGACTACTCGGATTTGTAATATTGCATTACATTTTTGGTCTAATTTTATTATTTTAATGTCTTATGGATCTAATTTATGAATTTACAATGTGCGATTATGGTACTAACAACTTTTTCAGGTGGTCATCATGGGAGGAGGAAATAAAGGAGAAACGTCCAAGAGGAGAAAGTCTAAGGGGAAATCTCCAATTGTACGTGTTGACGAGGATGAGTCAATGGAGGAAGCGGAGGCACATGATTTGGGGGCCTCTCAAGAAATCGTCAGAAATGTACAAGGGCAACAGGAGCAACAGCAGCATCAGGAACAGGAGCTACAGGACCCGCATCCTAATGACTTACTAGAGTTGGACCCTTCCACACTTTGGTGCGTATGTATTTGTATAATGAAATATCCTTAAATTCGTATTTACTTTGATAAAGTGAATTTGTATTACTTTAACCATGTTTTGTTCACTTTTTGTTGATTATATACTTACATGAATGTCTATCCTTTATTATAGTTTTGATGATATCCCGGTGAAGAATGTGCTCTCCGACTCGCTAACCGGCTACTATGTTCAGCCTTGGAGGAATTATGGAGAGGTTGATAAAGATTCGAGAGAGCACTTTTGGAACTTGTTCAACGTATGATAACTTTAACCTAACATAATACATGTTTTATAAATTATATTGATGGATTTGAATTTTGTAATAAAGACATTTTCTTGATTTGCAGAAAAAAAATCAAGTGGGCACCTGAGTTAAACAACCAAGTGAAGGACACTTTCGAAGAAAAGTTTGCAAATCGCCTACGTGACACGTTCTACAACATCACACAGAGGCTGAATGGTCGCAAAGCAAGATGGATTAATAAGGATGTCCACGAAGGCATGATGCGAATTGTTGCCACCGATCCAAAATATAAGAAGCGGTCGGAACAAAAAAGAAGAACCGAAGAGGCGGATCCATGGAAAATGTCGTTGAACCGACCCACTTTCAAGGTTCAATGTCATCTGTACAACATGCTAAAAAGTTGGTAAGGTTCCTACAATATGTCCAGTAACAATTATGTCATTTGTCTATTAATGAATTTTGGTGGGCTAACATGTTTTAATTGATTTTCTGCATGTACATATAAAGGCTGCAAAAAACAAAGGCCAATTTCCAAGTGCCTGGTAAAGACCAAGTGGCTTCCAACGACAAAGCAAAAAGGATTGCGGTAAACACTTATTATATGAGTTGAAATATGGCAAATTAGCAAAGTAGAACTCAATATATGCTTATTTTAGATGAATTTGGATGAGTTAGGGTCGAACATTGACGTATGTGCTTATTTCTCTTAATTTCTATCCTTAGGAACTTAAAAGTATGTGATATTGGAATGTTATAAGAAAGAACGAGTCCATTTGCTTGAAAACTTAGAAAATAGGCATGGTTTTAGCCATATAGGCAAAATTTGGATGATTTTGGAGGAGTGAGGGTTGAAAATTGACATATGTGATTATTTATCTTAATTTCTATCCTTAGGCACTTAAAAGAAATTGTTATTGGAATGTTAGAATAAAGAAACATTACATTTGCTTGAAAACTTAGAAAATAGGCATGGTTTTAGCCATATAGGCCAAATTTGGATGATTTTGGAGGAGTGAGGGTTGAAAATTGACATATGTGCTTATTTCTCTTAATTTCTACCCTTAAGCACTTAAAATCTATTTATATTGGAATGTTAAAAGAAAGAAACCTTACATTTGCTTGAAAACTTAGAAAATAGGCATGGTTTTAGCCATATAGGCCAAATTTGGATGATTCTGGAGGAGTGGGGGTTGAAAATTGACATATGTGCTTATTTCTCTTAATTTCTATCCTTAGGCAATTAAAAGAAATTGATATTGGAATGTTAGAAGAAACAAACCTTACATTTGCTGGAAAACGTAGAAAATAGGCATGGTTTTAGCCATATAGGCCAAATTTGGATGATTTTGGATGAGTTAGGGTCGATATTTTACATATGTGCTTATTTCTCTTAATTTCTATCCTTAGGCACTTAAAATCAATTTATATTGGAATGTTAGAAGAAACAAACCTTACATTTGCTTGAAAACTTAGAAAATAGGCATGGTTTTAGCCATATAGGCCAAATTTGGATGAGTGAGGGTTGAAAATTGACATATGTGCCTATTTCTCTTATTTCTATCCTTAGGCACTTAAAAGCAATTTATATTGGAATGTTAGAAGAAATAAACCTTACATTTGCTTGAAAACATAGAAAATAGGCATGGTTTTAGCCATATAGCCCAAATTTGGATGATTTTGGATGAGTTAGTGTTGTAAATTGACTTATGTGCTTTTTTCTCTTAATTTCTATCCTTAGGCACTTAAAAGCAAATGATATTAGAATGTTAGAAGAAAGAAACCTTACATTTTCTTGAAAACATAGAAAATAGGCATGGTTTTAGCGATATAGCCCAAATTTAGATGATTTTGGATGAGTAAGGGTTGAAAATTGACTTATGTGCTTAATTTTCTTAATTTCTATCCTTAAGCACCTAAAAGTATGCGATATAACTCCATTTTGTTGGTTGTTTTTTTAACAATATTTTTTTTATCTTCAATATTTTGTAGGACACCTACCAGAAGAAGCTCGAAGAAACAAGGAGTTAGGGGATTCAGAAGAGTCCCAATGAGTTGTACTGGGAGTCGGTGGGTGGGCGCAATAAGAAGGGGCGTGTGAAGGGACTTGGCCAAAGTGCAGAGCTCTACTATGGAAAACAGGGTTGAGGTTCCCGTTCTTCACAACAATACACGTCGTCTGTCATTTCTCAAATGCAAGACCAGATGGAACACAGGGTGCAAACTCTCCAAACTCAAATGGAAGCCCGAATGGCTGAAATGGAGAGGAGATACAAGGAGAGTTTTGATGAGATGATGAGTCGTCTCAACAACAACGACTCATGTTCCACCATTCATCCTCAGCATCGAGACCCTAGGAACGACCCGGGTGGTGGTGGAGCAGGCCAGGGTTTCCAGGCGATTGTGTAGCTTAGCTTTAGTCTAGCATAGAATCACTCTAACTTAGCTTTTGTTTGGTATAGATACCAAAATGTGGACTATCTTTTGTACTAGGACATAATTATTATATATATATGTACATAACCATAACCCTAATTTCGTAGGTCGGTAATTAATTTTTTTAAAACAACAATTTTAGGACTCAATATTTAGTTTTAAAACATAATTATTATATTATTTGTCGATTTATCATTAAAAAAATTCAGGTTTGAAAATGTAGAAAATTACCAAAATTAGTTTTGGGCTGGAAATACAATTTGCGACGGAATATTTCGTCGTAATTTACATATTTGCAACGGATTTTTCCGTCGTAAAATATAATTTGCGACGGAATTTTCTGTCGCAAAATATAAATTGCGACGGAATTTTCCGCCGTAAAATATAATTTACGACGGAATTTTCCGTCGCAAATATGTAAATTACGACGAAATATTCCGTCGTAAATAATAACTTGCGACGGAATTTCCGTCGTAAATAATATTTTGCGAGGGAATTTTCCGTCGTAAATAATATTTTGCGACGGAAAATTCCGTCGCAAATTATATTTTACGACGGAAAATTCCGTCGTAATGATTGCGACGGAACTTTTTCCGTCGGAAGTTTGCGACGGATCTTCATGAAAGGCCAATTCCAAGTCCGACGATTTTATTTTCGTCGTAAATTCCATCGTAAAGTTGGTTTACGACGGAATTTCCGTCGTAAAATGGCCATTTTCCTACAAAGGGTTTTCCGACAACCATTTACGACGAAATTCCGTCGTAAACCAATTTTACGACGGAATTCCGTCGTAAACCAATTTTACGACGGATTTTACATAGTTTACGACGAATCTTTTCCGTCCCAATTTTGTTGTTTTCTTGTAGTGGCCTCTATGGCTAACTCGGATTATAAAAGACCAACCTTAGCTTTTTCTAGCTAAAATTACACTACAGTCCACAGCACCTAACGTATAGTTAAATATCCGAAGTTTTGCTCAACCCTAGTTTGTATCTTAACCAAACCCTTTTGAAAGAAACAAAGACTTCAAAAGATAAAAAATAATACGAGTATTAAATTATCTATACATAATTATTATATGTTCAGAGTGAGAGATAACTGAAGTGGTTAGAGATCTCCTCGACTCCTCCTGATTTCTGGAGATTCCGAAATTAAGGCAATTGTAACTCTCTAAACAAAAACTTAAAAAAATATATTATATATTTCACAATTTGGTTGTATCTTAAACAAATATGGAATGGAAAAATAAATACTTTAGTTAAAAAACTTGACTTTAACATTGTTATTTTAGTAATCCAAAGATTAGTTTAATCCAATAGAATAGTGTAATAATAAGAGTTGCCCTTTCTACTGAGTCAAGAGCTTTCCCTTTCTACTGACTCAAGACCTTACCCTTTCTACAGCCACGCGGAGCACAGTAAAAGAATGAACAAGTGTAATTTTTTTTTTAATATAATTGTAAATAATTAATTGAGAGTTATATATATATATATATATATATATATATATATATATATATATATAGGGGAAGACTCTCGTGAGAAATTTTCTTATGTGAGAATTTTTCTTATGTGAGAACACTCTTTATGTTCTAAATTTTTACTCGTATGTTCTAAATTTTAAATCTGATGTTCTAAATTTTTCCTTAGGTGTTCTAAATTAAATCAAATGTTCTAATTTAGTACTCACATGTTCTAAACCATAAATTAGTTAAGTTCGATGTCATAAATTTTAAATTACTTGTTCCAAAATTTTAATTTGTATGTTCTAAATTTTAAAACGTGTGTTTTAAGATTTTTAATTATATGTTCCAGATTTTAAATTGTATGTTCTATTTTTTTACACGTATGTTCTAAATTCTTTCTCACACTTTCTATATTCTATATCAGTTTGTTCTAAATTTTAATTCAGATGTTCATAATCTTAAATCATATGTCTATATTTTACTCATATGTTTAATATTTCATAAAGCAAATTTTATAAATTTTTAATCACTTGTTCTAATTCTTAAATCAGATGTTATAAACATATTGCTCACACAAATGTTCTAAATTATTACTCATATGTTCAAATTTTTAATTTGAATCACATGTTCTAAATTTTAAATTAGTTCTCATATAAGTATGAATTCTCACATATGAACCTATTCTCACCGGATCCCTCCCCTATATATATATATTCCCAAGGTTTTATAGAGCCATGTAAAATTTAATTTTTTTCAGCGCGCCATGTAGGATAATACATTTTAATGGTAGCCAATTAAATACGGGATTATTAATTTCTTTTAAAATTAAATAATTTAAATGACACGTAGGCAAAATTGGCGAATGAGATTTCCCACTTTAAATTAATTAAATATAAAATATTATCTTTTGATATATATTAGGAATTTTATCTAAATATATAACAAATTTTAGCACTTATATATATAATTATTTTAAAAAATTCAAAAATAAATCGTGTATCGCACGTGCTTCATCTAGTAATATATTAATTTTGAAATTAAGAGAGTAAAATCACTATGGAGTATGATATTGATACAAATAAGCACTCAATACATAGGGGAGTTATTTCCCGAGTTTTTAGAAAGCCACGTAGGATTTAATTTTTTCAGCATGCCATGTAAGATAATACATTTTCGTGGTAGCCAATTAAATACGAGAATTTTAATTTCTTTTAGAATTAAATAATTTAAATGAAACGCAAGCAAAATTGGCGAATGAGATTTCTATGTTTAAATTAATTAAATATAAAATATTATCTTTTGATATCAAGAATTTTATCTAAATATATAACAAATTTTAGCGCGCGCGCACACACACACACACACACACACACACACACACACACACACACACACACACACACACACACACATATATATTCAAACAAATCGTGCATCGCACTAGCTTCATCTACTTAGGAAATATTAGAGAATAATTAGTCTAATCAGAGTTTTTTGGTTGTTTTTTTTAAAAAAAAATTATTATAAGGGTTTCGTTATCATTTAGCAGAATTCGTTAGGGTTTCGTTAAGTTTATTAAATATATTTAATAAAATAAAAAATATATAACTTTTTCTTAAAAAAATCCCCAACCACCCTACCACCCCAGCCCCCTCCCCGTCAGCGACCCCTCCCCTTCCCCTTCCCCTTCCCCTTCCCCCCTGTAGGCCCCCAAAGCCTATACCAACAAAAAAAAAACAGACAAAAAAAACAACTGATGTATTAAAAAAACAGAGGAATTATCTTTTGTACTAAATTTACATTCATAAATATTTAATTATTTCTCTCTCCTACCAACCTTACTAACTCTATTTGTTCCAATTATTTATTTCCTAAACTGACTATATAAAATAAAAATTATTTGTCCACTTACATTATTTTATTGAAGCATACATGCTTATAATATATTTGTTTTAAAAATTATGTGCACTCTCTACTAATAGAGTTTGGTTAGGTTGCTCAACTATCAGCTTAAGTTTTTTATTAGGTTGCTCCTTTAACATGGTATCAAAGCCAAAGTGACAAATTAGTTACGAGTTTGAATCTCATCCATCTCCATCGTCAAATTGGAATATTAAGCGCTGGGCATGGAATGGTTCATGCTGCATTCACATTTCAAGCCCGATGAGTTCTCGTGAGAAGGGGAGTTATTGATTATAAAACATATATTTGGACCTCAACCATTAGCTTAAACTTTTGGTTAATTTATAGAAATTGTTGTCTTCTTTTTCGGAGGAAGGTTGTTAACCCGCTCAATTCAAAAAACATTTACAATTACGAATATATTACAAACGGTGGGAGTACTCATTACAAGTACCAAATTAACGTATACAACAACAAACGTCAGTAGCGAGAGAGTGAGGGATAGCTCAAGTGGTTAGAGCTTCCCTCCTGATTCTAGGAGATTCTGAGATCGATTCTCATCCCGCCTGACTCTCTAAACACCAAAAAAAAAAAAAAAAAAAAAAAAAAAAAAAAAAAAAAAAAAAAAGGTCAGTAGCGATTAGCAATTTAGCATATACTTCATTATACCAACTCTAAAAGAGTATAAAAAACTACAGATAATTATCTAGAACGTGATTGATGACGATGATGTTTGAACCTACTATATATACAATTACATATTTACATCAAGTCAACTTTCTCTAGTTTTTTCTATATCTTTACTCCCTGCATATTGTGACTATTATTTTTCTAAAAAAAACAAAAACATATGTTTGGATAATAATATATTCACTAGTATTATTGTACTTACAAATTCTTAATGGACCTGGTTGACACTAAATAAATGTGAACCACCAACATTAGAGACAATATAATTGGTTTATTAATAAATAAAAAGGATATTGTATTAAAATAAAGGTTATTATGTTGAAATAAAAGTTAGTGTGAAATTTATAAGAGGGTAATTTAATTTATTTAATGAAATTTTTAATATAATGGTCGATATGAATAATAAAGATCACTAAATTAAAATTAGATCACTATTCAACATTATGTCGTACTTTAAGTTCATAATAACATTAAAGGTAACACAAGTTTTAAAAAAAGGTTACTATATTAAAATTAGGGGTCACTATATTAAATATAGTGTCAGTTACGTATGTATAAATTTTAGGTCTACGATAATATTATTGTGGACCAGGTCCACAATAATATTATACCAGGTCCACGCAAGATTTTCTGGTATTGGACTTATGAAAATTACTATAAATAGGTTTGCTAATTGAACGATATAGACATAAAAAAAAATTAGCAACCAAAAAAACATATACTAACTACAACTACTACTACTACCAAAAAAAAAAAAAAAAAAAAAAAAAAAAAAAAAAAATTCCTTTGAAAGAAATAATGATATTCATCTTCCTTATTTCAGCATCTCTTATTGTCATTTTTCTTACAATTGTTTTCAAAAATAGTAAGAAAAAATCATATTGCCCTCCTCCTGGACCAACAGGGCTTCCCATAATTGGAAACCTACATCAGTTTGAAGCCTCAAATACTCATATCTATTATTCCAAATTAGGCAAGAAATACGGCCCAATTTACACGCTACGATTGATGAGTAGACCTATGGTTGTGATCCAATCGGCGAAGTTGGCCCAAGAGGTCTTTCAAACGCAGGATAAGAACTTTTGTGATAGACCATTAACGACCGGAACACAAAGGCTTAATTACAATGGGTTAGACATAGCCTTTTGTCCGTACAGTGAATATGTACGTGAAATGAAGAAGCTACTAAATGTTCATCTCTTAGGCTCTAAGAAAGTCGAGTCTTTCGCTCCAATTCGACACGAAGAAGTCTCAAGGTTGATCCAAGAGGTTACTTCGTTATCTCATGCTTCCGAAATTGTCAATATGAGTCAATTGATTCTCAAATTTTCAAGCTCAATTACCGGGAGGATCACTTTTGGAAAGAGGTATAAATCTTATAAATTATAGTAAACACAGAAAATCTTACACCTAAGGTTTATACACACGTAACTGGCATTATATTCAACACAGTGACCCCTAATTTTAATAGAATAACCATATTTTTAAGGAAAAAATTAACATAAATAATCTCAACTTTATCCGATTCACCCAAAATAATCCCAACTTTCGATTATTTTTTAATAATCTGAACTTTAGTTTGAATTTCTTATAATGGTCCCAGGTGACCAGTAACCTGTTGAATAAGTAATTTTTTTTTAAAAAAGGTTTAATTTACACATGTCATTACATAATTGGTCAAAAATAAATTAATTTTAATTTTAATTTATATTATTGGTTTAATTATTAATTATTTATTTAATTAACTTAGAAAAATTAAACAAAAAAAAAAGAACCACCAATTCAACCATCGCCAATCTCAGGCCAGCCTAACCACAACCACCGACGGTCGGCGCCTAGCTGGCCTATTCCCCCTATCCCGCTGTCTCAGTTCCCCCTCCACCGCCGGCGGAGCCCAACCCACCCCTCTTTACTCTCTGTTTGGTTTTTAGGTGGGGAAGGATCGGTGAAGTAGCGGGCTGCAAATATTGTTCGTGGAAGGGGAAATGGGTGAGGTGGGCTTCGCCGCTAAGGAAATGAGTCGTCGGGGAGGGGGGAAAATCGACAGCGGGATCTGCAGGATGGGGAATGGCCAGCTAGGTACCGGCAGCCGTGGTAGGGTTCAGGTATGAGCAGCGGTGGTTGGGCTACACTGGTGGAGTTTTTCTTTTAAAAAAGTCTTCTATATTTTTTTTTACTTTTTAATTAATTATTTTAATTTAATTATAATTTTCTTTAATATTTTTTTATCTTATCATGTCCTGACACGTGTCAGGTGACTTGTTATAACAAGTTTTATAACCGGTTGGGACCGTTAGAAGCAAATTCATGCATATTAAAGTTCGGATTATTAAAAAATAATCGAAAGTTGGGATTATGACCTTTGTTTTAAAATAATGACCTTTATTTTTTGAAAATAGTATAGTGCACTCGGGTGCACCATGCGCATGGTGCGCCCGGAAAGAACATTAGGCTTATTTTAAAGAACATGAGGATAAAAAAAAAATAAAAAAAAAAAGAACATACGAGCGTTTGAAAAATAACATGCTAGTATTTGAAAAAGAACATGCATAATAGTGTTCAACAAAAGAACATGTTTGTGTTTAACAAAGAATATGGCCTCCGAAAAGAACATTAGGCATATTTTAAAGAACATGGAATAAAAAGAACATGTTAGTGTTTGACAAAGAACAAACTAGTGTTTGAAATATTAACCTTACTTGGTTATCTTCCAGTTGGCTTCAATTCGTTATTATTCTTCTTTCTCCTCCAATTGGTCTTTTTTTAACAACTTGTACTTCATAGCTTTAATTATTATTCTTTTTTTTTAAAAAAAAAAAACCCAAATTCACAAAATTAAACACTTTGACTTTAAAATTATTGACGAAAAACAATTTGCATGGACAAAATTTATACTTACATTTTACTTGAATCCACCATTTGTTCAAGTTTGAAGGTTGAATTGTTGAAATAAGTCCAATTTTTTCTTGGGTTTTACTTTGAAGATGAGCAATTTTGCTACTTTGATTTTTTTTTGAATAATAGAAAAAGATAGAGAGAAAAGTTCTAGAGAGAGAAAATGAGTACTTTGGAATTGAAATTTACACAAATAGTAGAAGTACCAGTATTACAAGATTGACAGTAAAGTGAGACCAATTTGAGACCTTCATTGAAATTCTTAGATGAAAACGATGGTGTAAAGGAGAGAGAAAATTGGCACCAAGAAAGAGAGTGATAGGAAGGGAAAGAGAAGTGAGAAATTGCAGGAGAAGAGAGTGATAGATTTGTAGTTGCAAGAAAATAAAAACATGTTCATTTTTTACCCATGTTCTTTTAAATATACTAAATGTTCCTTCGGGTGCACCAACAACAAATTATTAATTACAAACTATTGGGTCAGTCAAATCTGACCAAACATTTCGTCAGTCCAACTAGTGTTGGTATGGCAATACAAAATTTTCACACCCTCATTTCCACTCACCATCACCAACAATACTCCCACTCAATCCTACTTCACTTTCTCTCTCCTTCTTCACCTTTAACCCACCCCTATTTTCTCTCTCCTCAACTTTCTTGTAAATTCTTCTATTTTCTTTGTCCATGATTAATGCTTGAATTGAATAGGATGGAGAGGAGAGAAAAAATAAATAAAGATTGTTGATTATATTTGTCCATGATTTATGCTTGAATTGGCTTGATAATTGATTGAGATTCTCGGATTTTTCGAAAAATGCCCAAAAAAATCGATTTGGGGCTTTCATGTGTGATGTATAACTGTTGAAATTGATTGTCCTATGTGATCGTATGTTGAATTGTGAGTGTTTTGATAATAAATACATCTATTTTGGTTGAAAAGTAAGCATGTTATGTTATATTCATGAGCTTAGTACGAGACCTTCAATGGTGGTTTCGCCATTGTTGACCTTTAAATTATTTTTATAAAATAAATTTTATTATGTGGATGATATCATTTATAAGTTGGATGATAACATCTATAAGTTGGATAATATCCTCCATAAGTTAAATGATATCATGTATTGTGTTAATAATATTATCTATACGGTAGATGATATCTCTTTTTATTATCTTGGCAATAAATTAAAGGGAAATGTTGCAACTTCACAAGCAAGGTGAATTGCATGGGAGAGGTAAGGGGAGGAACCCAAAAAGCTATGCAGCGCATACGTTTTTTTCGTCAAGGTGAAGAGTGTATGTGCCCAACAGCATGTCTCTGTCAAGGGATCAAGAAACTTTTATTTTTTATTTTTATTAATAAAAAAATACTATTTCAATTCTCCTTCAAATAAAATCCTCTTTATAATCTTATATTTAGCCACTTTTACGAACAATTATCTTTTACTTTAAACTATGCGAACAACTACCTTTATATTTGTTTTTTGTTATGTTAACCACTTGAGAAAGACAAACTTTTAAATAAACGAATGTACAATAAAATATTGTACATCCGTTATAAAGTTATCTTAAAATGAACAAAAGTTACCTTAAAATGAATAAAAGTTACCCATTATTATAAGTTACCCTGCTTTAAATAAAATTTATTTATGTTTCATTAATGAAAGTTACCTATAAAAGTTAAAAGTGATACTAAATTTGATAAAAAAAAAAGACCCATGATGTATATTAAAGGAAAAATTGAAATAAATAATCTCACCTTTGCTCGACCTGCTCAAAACGAGCCCACCTTTCTATATTCTGGGAACGAGCCCACCTTTACCCTATATTTTCTCAAAACAAGCCTTTTTACCTATGACCTATTGAACAGGTTAATTTTTTTTTATATTTTTTTTTCTTTTTCAGAAAAATGTTTCTCCTCCACCTCACCACCCACTTCCTACGTGCATTCCCTGCCACCACCAACACTACCAGTCCCCTGCTCTTCACACCACTCGTCACCGCAACCAAAGTCACCGCATCACTTTCTCAGCAACAATACACCACCAAATAACAACATAAACCACCAACGTTACCTGTCATCTCCGACCTTCATCACCCTCAATTAAATAATTAATCACATCACCTTCACACCCACAACCCACCTGCTACACTCGCCCAGCACCACCACCGAACCGCACACACCACCCCTGCCAACACCGCAAATCGCAATAACCGCACCAAATAACAACAGCAGCACCACAAGTCACTTGCAAGCAATTTACGAACCCCAAATCACCAATTTGATTTGGCGTACAAGTAGCAGCAATTAATGCTACAATTGAGTGGGTTCTTTAGGTGGGACATTTGAGTGGTGGAGGTAAGTTAAGGGGGGTGGGTTGTTGGTTTTTTGGGTGAGTTAGGTGAATGAGGGGAGGTTGCGGGTGAGATTCAGGATGAATGAAGGTGGTTGTCGCTGCGGGGAGGGCAGGGGCAGCAGGCGGAGGGGTGAGAGGCAACAGTGGCGGTGGCTGGGGGGAAGGGCAGGGGTGGTAGCCGGAGGAGGGATGGATGCTAGTGGCAGTGGTTGCGTATGGGGGAGGAGAAAAGTTTTTTTTTAAAACAAAATTTATTTATTTTTTAAAAATTGGATCAATTAGAAGGTGACATGTGGCGGTCACCTTCTAAAACCGGGTGATAACTTAAAAAACTGGTCAAGGGCTTGTTTTAAGAAAATAGAGGGCAAAGGTGAGCTCGTTCCTAGAATACGCAAAGGTGGGCTCGTTTTGAGCAGATCGAGTAAAGGTGGGATTATTCTTTTTAATTTTTCCTATATTAAATTACTGTACACTAGGTGTATACAAAAATTACTCTGACAGAATAGGGGAAACGTTTTGGGGACCACTTCCTCATTTTCCCTTAACTATCTCTCATCTATATAACAACCTTCCCCAATTAGAATGTTATGTTTCTTTTGAATTTCCTCTTCCAATAAAGTTTGGGCTTAAGTATATTTGCTCTTCCAAATATTAAAATTCAAGTTGTTAGAGCATTCCCATAAGTGAGGAGAATTTTGCTCATGAGCAAAATTGATGAGCAAAATTGCAATATTTGCTTCCCCACCAATGAGCAATTCAAAATATGCTCATGAGCATAATTAAATTTGCTCATCCTATGAGCAAAAATGAAAGTGAATAGTAAAATCGTGGGGCCCAGCAATAGTACTAACTGACTTTTTTTTTTGCTTTTGACACCCTCAAAATGACGAGTTTTGGGGTTTGTTCTAATGAACTATCCCCCAAAACGACGCGTTTTGTTGGCAGCCAAGCAAAAAAAAATTAATACAGCTGCTGACAGGGGCTCGTCAGTCCAGCGAATGGGAAGCTGACACGCGTCATTGTCAGCTTGTTCCTCCAATCAAAAAATGTTACCTTTTAGCAACGGTAATTAAATTAAAACGGTAATTTGGCCGTTTTATATTTATTAAAAAAAAATC